AAGAATGATACAGAATAGTTTAATGTGTACTGTTCAACAAGAGTTTAATTTTTATATCTGGCATGACAATAATAATTAAATATATGTCATTATATTTATGCAAATTTGTTTTGAAATCTAACTAGTACCACCTAATAGTCTTGTTGGTTGCTATTCTTTAGACTGAGCAAATGGCGCCAACTAAATAAATAAATAAAGTCGTGTTTCAGATCAATACACTGTCTCATCTAATCTCCATTGCTCGGACAAACTCTTTATATATATATATATATATATATATATATATATACATATACATATATATACACATATACATATATATATATATATATATATATATATATAACCTTCCTGAATAAATAAAATCAAGAAAGTGGGAATTTATCTAAACTGGTGAAAATTAAATGAGTTAATTATCATCGGGAAATATAGAATCCATGCTGGATCTCATTGTTGGAAAAAAGAAAGGAAAAAGGAAAAGAAAAAAGGGAGACAGAAAGATTTGATGACTCCAGTATGCTTCCAGGTAATCAGGACAAACAAAATGTTAAAAGACTTGTTAAACAAGTCAGTCGACGAGATGATTAACTCAGGAGTGAACAATAGTACATTCTATTAGTATCTTATTTTCTAAATGCCAATTGTACCTTATAGAGTGAAATCGTTCTTTATCCGTTTAATGTTGATATGACCATACATTTGTCGGTCTACTCTTGTAAAATCTTAGAAAACGGATTAATTTAAACCACTAAAAATTGATTGAACCATATCAAACGTTCACCAAAAGCAAATAACAAAAAGACAGCAAATATTCGCATTGCTGATGATTAACCTCGCAAAGATCTCAGTCCAAACAGGAAGATAATATAAGTGATTTCATATTTAATCCTACGGCACTCATAAACGATTTGTGAATTATGTTGTCATGTATTGCATTCCCAGCTCTCCTCCTGTTCACTAGGCCTACTCATCAAGTTAATCCATGGGTTGTCTGAACATAATCGCTTGGCATCTTCAGTGCTTTTCTTTAATTTCAATAAACACTTTGAACTCAAAACAGTAATAGTCGAAATAAAGACAACGCGTTTGGGATCATTTGACTTGAGACAGTTAAAGCTGATCAAACTGACTAGCAGCTAACTGGCAATTGCAAACTATTAGCCAGCTTTAAAACATCTGAAAATGACCGAACCTCTCCAATTCAGTTTCACTTAACAATCATGTCAACCGAAATAATCGGTAGCAGTATAACTAACACTAGTATATTCTCCACTAAAGGGAATGTATATTACTGACGCTGTTATTTATCTGCGCCAGTGTGTAATTAGCATATGTTTAGCTAAGCTGTCTTCATGAAGTGTAAACCTCAGCTTGCTAACTTTTCTATTATACTTTCCTAACTTGGCTTATTTCAGTATTACGTAGTGGAAGTTCAGCGACTCAGAACATTTTTGACAGCCTTGAACGTTTTGGAACATTTCCACTTGATGTCATCATCAACAATAAATAATAAGCCAAGCTAAAACAGTAGCAGCTCTGCTAGAATTATGTCTCTGCTTACCTTCTTCTGAGACCAAATCTCCGCTGGTTTCGCTCCGACAGCTTTACTTTTATAACCAAAAATGGCTATATTGTCGATTTAAACCAATAGTCATTCAAATTTCTCTCTGTGCTTTTAGAAAGAAACAGAAATGTAAGCTGAGGTCGATGAGGGTTTGCAGGTAGACTGTTAGCATTTGCAAGCTAACCTCGAAAATGAAGCAAAAATCCCAATATTCATCTAGCTTTTTCACCTATATATGTCAGTTTTGAACACAGTAATGTTTTGGTAAATACTGTGTCTAAAAAAAATGGTCGTCTCTATTGTTTAACCAGAGTTTCAATACTATTTCACCAAAACAGAAATAGTTAGTAGGTCCTCGAAAAGCAATTGAGGAAGGCCATTTTGTTGACAAGCAGCTGCAAAACGCTTTTAGCCAATGGGGAGAGAAAGTTGATGGCATGCCCATATATGGATGTTCAGACTCCCCCTCTATCACTACACTCACAAAGAGGAAAATTCTTCTACCTCATCATCATAACAATCAGCATCTTTCACTTTCACCACATTTCACATAAAAGTCAAGTCTGAGCAAAAACATACCGTAATTGCAGACTCTGTTTGTTTTTGTTCTGTTACTGTACTTTTACAATTAGTCTTTGGCAGCCAATGCCACTGGGCAGACATAAATAAGAAAGACAACAATTCTCAAATATTAAAATACCAGTAAATAAAATATCAAATGAACACAGATAGTGAGAGAAAGATAAGAAGCAATGCACATCAGAGTATGGACCCCACACACACAGTATGTTCATTGTACAGTAGGGTGAATTATCTTTGTATGGGATTATGTATCTTTATTACAATATGAGGACAGGGATACTGAACAGTGCAAAGGTATTGTGTTTTTATTTTTACGTTTATTTTTACGTTTCACATTATGAAATAAATGTTTTTCTCCAAAACACGTTGGCCACAATTATACCCCTAGATTTTTTTACGAGTAAAATATCTCTGAAGTATTCCCATTAATGTTTACCTTTTTTTAGCACACCAGGAGGACTAGGAACATGAAATTGTCCAGCCATGACTTCTTGTTTCACAGGAGTTTAAATATGAGGAAACACAAAGGCCAAATTCCCTTAATCATCCACTACAATGAGTAAAACCAAAGAATATAGTTCTGATGTGCAGCAAAAGATTGTTGAGCTTCACAAAATAGAAAGTGGCTGTAAGAAAATAGCTAAAGAGTTGAAAATCCCCATTTTGACCATCAGGGCAATAATTAAGAAGTTCCAATCAACTAAAGATGTTACGAATCTGCCAGGAAGAGGACGTGTGTATATTGCCTTAATGGACGGTGAGAATGAAAGTTTGAGTGGCCAAAGACTCTTCAAGGATCATAGATGGAGAATTGCAGAGATTAGTTGAGTCTTGGTGTCAGAAAGCCTATAAAAAAATTTAACAACCCCTACATCACCACATGTTGTTTGGGAGGGTTTCAAGAAAAATCTTCCTCGCTCATCCAAGAACAAACTCCAGCAAATTCAGTTGTCAGACACGGCTGGAACTTCAAACGGCACAGGGTTCTGTGGTCAGATGAAACTAAAAAAATAGCTTTTTGGCAGCAAACACGCTAGATGGGTTTGGTGCACACAAGGATAAAAAGTACCCCATGTGTACAATTTAATAAACCGTTGGATCTTTAATGCTGTGTGCATATTTTTCTGCTGGAGGTCCTGGACTTCTTGTTCAGATACGGCATCGTGGATTCTATCAAATATCAACAGATAAAAAATCAAAACCTGACGCCTTCTGCTAGAAATCTTATAATGGGCCGTGGTTGGATCTTCCATCAGGACAACAATCCAAAACAAACATCAAAATCAAATGAAGCTTCTGCCATGACCGTCCCAGTTCCCTGACCTGATGAGTGGAGTGAACTGGAGAGAAGAAGCACCAACATGGATCTGGAATCTGAAGGATCTGGAGAGATTCTGTGTGGAGGAATGGTCTCTGATCTCTTGTCAGTTGTTCTCCAAACTCATCAGGCATTATAGGAGAAAACTCAGAGCTGTTCTCTTGGCAAAAGGAGATTGCAAAAAGTATTTAATAAAAGGGTGCCAATAATTGTGGCCAACATGTTTTGGAGAAAAACATTTATTTCGTAATGTGATTTCCCCCCCACTTTCAATTATTTTACTTCAATTTAAGGTTAGATTTTTGGCTATTTTTTTAATGAAAGATCAAAAGGATAAACGATGCAGATTTATTTTTTACAGCCAGTTTTGATCATATTTACCAGGGGTACCATTAATTCTGAGCACGACTGTATCTTTTAGTGTGTAGTGAGAGGGCCTTTTAGAGGAAACAGTTCTTTCAGGTAATGCCCAATGAGAATAATTGATAAATAATGCAAGAGATGCAAATAAGACCATACCAGAGATTGTACTATGGAAAATAAATGCAGGTTGTGCAAGTACAGGGAGATATTCACATGTCGGTGTGAAACAGATGCAATCATTGTTTTTTTCCCTATTGTGACATATCCAAGTGAAACGGCTTCTTGAACAAGAAAAACATTTTAAGCTACAGTAAAACAACACATATTTTGTACGAAACTTTTAGATTAGACTGTTATTGACTAAAAATTAGCCTATTACAGACAGTACAAACCCCACTTTAATGTTCTTTCCCCCCCTGTAACAGTCATAAACGAGAACCTGCAAAGTTAAGTACAAAATCATGGCCTTTATCAACGTTGATTTTTTTTTCCATTTTGTTTTCATAAATATTTGACGGTGATGACAAAACTTAGTGACAAACTTTATAAAAGAGTCATGATTTAAAAAGTTCCTTCTTTCAGGACATAATGCATCTTAAAAGACACATGGTTTCAGGGGTGGTAAGCGATAATGCCATAATTTTATTAAAATAGATGGGCCCTAGGCTAACATGAACGGTGCATTTATGTAACGTTAAAAAACATTTTAACAATAATCTTCGATTTATTTAGTGTGGATGTGTTTAAGTTTTAAAAATGTCAGGTATTTAATAATATTCTATTGGAGAATCACCCACATACTCTGCAGTTTTCTGATAATTTGCTATTAATTCCTCCAGAAAGTCAAATGAAAGTCACTTATTAGCTCCGCTAGTTGAGCTTCACTCAATCAAAATCAGCGACAGCGTCGTTAGTAACTGCACTTCTCACACTGGCCAGTATACGGCGTTATCCTCCACCGGATCATTGGTCACTGAGCCATTCCTACGCCCCGTACCAAATTCTATTGGCCCAAGACGTGTATGTCAAAACTGATACTATGGTTACCATGTTAAACGTGTTTGCTTTCCGCTCGTGATTGGTTGTCAGCAGCAAAACCAACCCCTTTTTGACATCTGCAAATTTGATTGGCTATGTCAGTTGTCAATCTCCAGAGTCTTTCCGTGTCCGGTAGTGGTTGCAAAACAGACAGAGGTGTGCGGAGTAGAAAGGACACTCCTCACAGACGCTGAGAAGGATACTAATCTCTCAACACGAGTAAGTATTATTGTTGTTAGAAAACTACACCGCTGTACCTATTTATTAAATACTCCTTGATCGGATATATTTTTAATACTGTAATATTCAATAGTATTATTAATGCCCATGTCCACGGCCGCATTAACTATAGGGCTAGGCGGGGTTAAAGCCCCGGGGCCCGAGCAAGGAGGGGGCCCGTGATTGGCTGTGGAGCAGATTGACTACTTGCCTTACCACGCCCCCCACAAATAGCCCTGTTATTAGGGTGACCAGATGAGATTGGCTGAAATTCAGGACGGGGGGTTGGTTTTGGTTCAGTATGTCAGGTTTTGGTTCAAAATATGTTTTGGTTCAAACCTGATATATTTTTAATCAAAGATCAACAGTCTGTCGTTAGTCTTGTCTGCCACAAAAAAATAAAAATAAAAAATATTAAAATCATGAACTCAAATGTCATTGTGAAAAAAAAATGTGTTACTGTTGTAACAGTGCACAGGCTAAATCAGACCTTTCAGGCTATAGCCTAACACTAATAAGCCTTATGCCAAAATTATTATTACAACTAAATTGTCGGTCATTAAATAGGAAAACTAAATAATTGTGTAGATGATTTGCTTCAAGTGTAACCCGACATCAGACATTAAGGCCCGGCCGAAGTATTTTTTTGCACACCGGTAGACGCGAATTCGCCTCATTCGCGCGTCCAGTTCGCATTCGCGCGTCAAGAGCGAAATTGACGCGCGTAAAAAACAAAAGTTTAGACTGCTTCCTGCACATTCACTGTCCTCGCGGCTGCGGCGGGGGCTGGCTGCAGGACGCCTCAACTTCCACGGACAGTTTTTAATGTTTTATATCAAGATTTTGCTTTAGTATAATTTTCGGGACAATTAAGGCCGGTTTCGGGATTCGGAAAACAGCTTAGATTTCGGGACTGTCCCATGTCAATGAATTTGGACATGGGATAAATGCACTGTAATGTGCCTTAACTTTACATCAAGCCCAATTGAACATTTGCAAATGCTAAATTGTAAATGCATGCGTTTCATTCGGAAAACAGCTTAGATTTCGGGACTGTCCCATGTCAATGAATTTGGACATGGGATAAATGCACTGTAATGTGCCTTAACTTTACATCAAGCCCAATTGAACATTTGCAAATGCTAAATTGTAAATGCATGCATTTCATTCGGAAAACAGCTTAGATTTCGGGACTGTCCCATGTCAATGAATTTGGACATGGGATAAATGCACTGTAATGTGCCTTAACTTTACATCAAGCCCAATTGAACATTTGCAAATGCTAAATTGTAAATGCATGCGTTTCACAATGACAAGCAAAGTGAAATTATATGATATAACAATATTATATGATTAGAATACAATATGAATTACATAATATTACAAAATATTAATATTACATAAAAAACTTAAACTAAATGAAAATGAGAAATGTTGCCAAAACAACTGACTTAAATAAGATTACGTGGAAGCACTAAATTACTAACTGGAAATAGATCAAATCTAAAACGGAACTAAAACCAAAAAAAAAAAAAACGAATTAAAATTACAAAGGCACATATCAAAATTGAAAACTGAAAACTAATTAATAAACTATAATTGTATATAAATAATACTAAAATAACTGCCTGGTCTGAACTTTTCAGTAATGATATGATGTTTGAAGGTTCATCTTCACCTGTGATTCTCAGTGATGTTGGCAGAAGTGCTGCAGGTGTTGAGGGGGGCCAGCAAGGTGGGTGCTGCCTTCGCCAACATTCAGGGCGAACAACTCCGACTGATGGCCTGTAACTCGACCTTTGGTGCAGGAGTCAAAGCTGCAACGGAGGCGGTCGAGGGTGTGATGGGCACTGTAATGGGAGAAAGCGTGGTTAGTGAACTCATCAAGATTTATCTCTCTGCCCATTTATAGATATGAATGAACATAGTAAGAGAAATTACATTGCAAACATATGTTATTTTTAAATGGACATTTTCAGACTCCCAAGACTGACGAGTTTCCTGACATTGAGAAGTGGGAGGAGATGGACCCGGATGAAGCAGCAAAGTGGGCAGTCGGCTCTGAAATGCCCCCAGATATTTCCAGCAAAGATGGAAGGGATGAAACGTCAGAGCCGCTTTTTGCTGCACCTACTGGCACGGTCAAAGGAACTGGTTGGCCTGGTCAAAACACTCGATTTCTACATGTGTCAATGTCTCATCCCCATACTAGGTTTGTCCACGATTCTGTGGTGGCCAGGTTAAGCCCTGAAGACATTAAAAAGGCGCGGGAGGCAAAGCAGAACATTGCCAGGCCTGTACGGCAAAAGGTGAGGTTTTAAATGTTAACATTGGAAATAAATGCCGAAAACTTGTCTTGTGATTTACAATTAATATATGTTGAAAATGTAAACTAAAACTACTTGATTGTTAAACTATTAAAACAATTGAAATTAAGCTAAAATAAAACATAAATATTAGGCTAGATGAAAAAACTAAAATTAGAAATGTATTCGCATCTAAATTGAAGCACTTAAATTAAAAAAATAAATATTATTAATAAAAATAAATAAAAAATGAAATACAAATTAATTAAACTTAAATAGGAATATTAAAAAACTAACAAAAATGACAAAATCAAAATAAAATTAAAGCTCCTCTGATGGCATTTTGGAATGTATTTGTCATTTAAGTATATTGTTTAGTATGAAATTTACAGTTAAGTTTCATTTCATTCATTTTTTTAATGTAATTTAAAAATGAATGAAATTTAATTGAATGAAAATAATTGAATGAAAATTTAATTGAATTGAATGAAAATTTAATTGAATGAAATGAATGAAATTTAAAACTGCAGTCCGTAGCTTTTTTGGGGTTAAAAATTATCCAAAATACATATATTTGAGAAAATGCATAACTAGCCAGTGTTGAACGCTATCTGCTTGCCTCAAGCTCGATTCAAAATGGTAAGCTTGTAATAATGTTTTTAATTCCAGTGGTACTGGTGGATTTCCGCGGGAGATTCGAGCATGTCTTTGCATCATTACGTCACATCTGTACACATAAAGAAGTATCGGCTAGTAGGCTATATTGAGTCATTACGTCACATCTGTACACATAAAGAAGTCTCGGCTAGTAGGCTATATTGAGTCATTACGTCACATCTGTACACATAAAGGAGGAGTCTCGGCTAGTAGGCTATATTGAGTCATTACGTCACATCTGTACACATAAAGGAGGAGTCTCGGCTAGTAGGCTATATTGAGTCATTACCTCACATCTGTACACATAAAGGAGGAGTCTCGGCTAGTAGGCTATATTGAGTCATTACCTCACATCTGTACACATAAAGAAGAGTCTCGGCTAGTAGGCTATATTGCGTGTGAGGATGCTGGAGGTGGAGATTTATAGCCTTTTCTCACAGCACTTGATATAGGCTAATAATTCAACTTATTAATTTGATGGCGGATCTAGAAAGGTTCAAACGACAATCACCAGTGACAACTGGAGACTCACCCGTTGTAAAATGCAAAAGACTTCGTTCGGACTTCGGAGTGGCTACAGAAAAAAAGAGACTGCAACCGGCCCCATGCGAAAACAAGGAGGATACATATCGGAAGGACAATACATTTAGTCACGCAATGCTGACGTTGTTAATATTAACAATTTGAGAACAAAGTATAATTTGCACTGTTTTGCGTGATATGATAGGCGATTGTTAGATTTAATCAGCGCGATTTACTGCAATGTCAGAACCAGAACAAAAGTGAATGTTACTTACTTGTTCAGATGACATTTTCTGGTGAAAATTCTAATGTTGGTCATACTTCCAAAAATAATAATCTGTGATTCTGAATGCCAGTATCCACACCGGCGCAGTGACTGACAGCCTCACACTCTCCTCAAACATTGTGTTCATCCGCGCTGTGCCGTGTCGCAGTACAACTCACGTAAAGTTGATAATTCCGCGAATAACTGCAATTGCAGATTTCGAACAGAGATGTCGACAAAGAGGAAAAACTGCGGACTGCAGCTTTAATTGTAAAAATTAAATTTCATTCATTTTTACAGTTTACAGTTTGTCTATTTACAGTTTTCTTTTTTTCAGCATGTGCTGCTCGTTTCTGATCATTTTTTTTTGATAAATACATTTGTAGACTTTATTGTGCAGTATGATTTTGATGCTTTGCAGCTTAGCGAGCGAGCCAGAGAGCGGAAGGTACCTGCTACGCGGATCAGTCGCCTTGCCAATTTTGGGGGTCAGTGATTTTCAGTTTTATTATTTGCACTGCAGACTGTTTGTAATACACACTCAAAAAACCTCTATATTGCTGTATTACTTTTAATTGCCATTGTTATAATATTGTTGTAATTTTATATATATATTTTGCCGGCAAAATGCAGTTATTTCAATTTGAATTTGCGCGATTGAAAATTTTGTGTGAGAGCGAAAGGTTTCCCCAAGTGGATTTTGCAACGAGGTTAAATTGGTTGTGTAGATTTGCTGTGTTGACCAACAGAAAGCTACTTGGCTTCTTACATCGCTACACTATTGATAAATGTGGTCGCATCTTAATAATGCATTAATTGTCCTATTCATAATAATTGTGCTGCTTTCTTTTGTAGGATTAATGGTTGGTCTAGGCATTGGAGCCATTGCTGAGGTGGCAAAACAGTCTTTTGGAGGAAAACGCTCAGGTAGTATGTGGTACCCATTGCCTTGTTTCTAAAACTGTCATTGGGCATATTAGTCCAATTTCTTCTGGTGTCTTTCACTTTCAGAGATGGGGGCTCTTTTAGACTCTCCCCTCCTGTCAGAGGCCAATGCAGAGAGAATAGTGAACACACTGTGTAAGGTTAGAGGAGCGGCCCTCAAGATTGGACAGATGCTAAGCATTCAGGGTATATAATTTTATTTATTGTGAACACTTTGGGACCAAGTGCCTTCAATTGTTCATATAAATGACTAAATTCCTGTTTCAAGAGCCCCATTTTAGAGCTTGAAACTCTTCCAGATGTTTTCTGTCCTTTGTTGCTTTTCACAAAATATTATTTAAAGCATTCCAAAGGCACAAAAAGAAAAGAAATTTTCCTCTGTGATGTTTCTAATTTTTTATGTCCTCAATAGATAATAGCTTCATTAACCCGCAACTGCAGAAAATATTTGAGAGGGTTCGACAGAGTGCAGACTTCATGCCAGCCTGGCAAATGCATGTAAGTTACAGTGGTTACTACTTTATTTATGCAGTTATTTGTTGTGAAAAGATTCTTCTGGTTTTTGGGGGTTTTTTGTGATGCTCTTATAAAATATTAACCACAGAACATTAAAAACTGCATTGATGTCTTGAAATAATTGGGTTAATGAGCACCATGCTGGAAAGACTCTTTTTACTAACAAGCTGTTTTAATATTTATCAAAAATACTTTTAAGACACTAGCTTGAAATAAAGATTTTCATAGCAGTGTTATTATTTATATGCTACTTTTATATTATTTATTAATATTGTTAATTGGTTTTTATTTTTTAGCAATTTTGTATTTTTTTTTATTAATTAATTGATATTTATATTTAGCACATTAAGTTTTGTACATCAATTTAACCTTATTTGTTTCAGTCAGTTGCCAATGTAACATTTTGACAAGTTTCTCATCTAATATTTACATTTTATTTATTTCAATTAACAATTTTTTTTTTTTTAATATTCTTAGTTTTAGTTAACCATAGCAATGCTGTTTCGTAGATGTGCTACAAGGGAGTGTCAGTGCACTTTATATAGCTGGTTGATAGAAATGCTGGGTAGCTATTAGCGTGTTCAAGTCATGTTGAAAATATCACATTTATGAGTTGAACGCACATAAATGACATCACATAGTGGTAAATATGAGTGCGAAGATCGGGATTTTTGTTAAGCCTTGATCTGTACGAGTTTGGGGCTTGTCAGTGAAAAACGTGGTGGTTTACCACAATATTTATCCACCTTATTCCTGACGACCTTACTGCGTTTTGAATTATGGGTGGCACTTCCGGTTTGCGGAACTTCCATTCAAAAAGGCTAAAACGAATCATTTCAAATCATAAGGTTGCCCTTCAAATAAAGCTGATCCGTCAGTTTGACTGGATAAGCTGTCAATTTTCCTTCATGATTTATTTTCAGACATAATGAGAATAACGTTATACTTGGTATTTTAACGTGACATGTTATAACAAGAATATCTATGGCAAGAGCTCTTTTCAGTCGCTGCTTTCTTTTCCTCATGATGATTTTTATTTTTTCCTTTGCAATCCGCTGTAAAAGTATGAAAAAGGACAACATATACGGCACATTTGTGGTCTGTTCTCCCGAATTTAATTTACAATATTCCATTAATAATTCACTGGAATGCACGAAGAATCTCTCGTTATTCTCCTCAAATCCTCACGTCTCTTTCCAGGTTTGTTTTCACAGGTAAATGCAATTTATAATCTGTCAAAATGACGGAAATCACTTTGATATAGTGTCACGTAATGCTGAAGTTAATGAACATTTTTGATTAAGGCTTGTTATACAATACAGATATACGTATATTTGCCTACTACAGTGATATTTAACCAAAGACTCGTGCTTTTGGGGCTATTTTTGGTCTGTTGAAAGTACCTTGTTGATTCTTTTAAACTTTTAAATTTCATTTTAATGTTCGATGGTTGAAGGGTGAGTCGATTAATGTCATCTCATTGTGACAATTTTTTAACGTATTGTGTTCATAGAGCGAGCCTTTCACTGATTGTTTACAGCTTAACGGAAGTCACACCCATAATTAGCGCAAAGCGTTTTTATCTACTACAAAATAAGCTAATTCCCTGCACAAAAAAATATGATATCATTGTAATATAGCAATGATAAAGTATACAGTGGCTTCATAAATTAAAACCAATAAAAAGTAAAACACATCTGATGCACATTCTTTGTTCTTCATTTTCTAGAAGTAGAGTTTAAAAACCTTGCTGTATTTTTGTGTAGGTAATTAAGAGGAGGTGCAACGCCATCTTGCACGCTCCTGATGGCAGTTGTTAGTGTTGCTTCTAATCCTTAATAGTTTCTTCTAACTGATGTTTTTCAGATGTTGTTATGTTCACTTTGTGATATCTCACCAACTATGTTGAAACCCCATGTGTAGAAAGTGCTTGAGGAAGACTTAGGGTCTGGATGGAAGGAGAAACTCTCATCATTCGAGGAAAAACCCTTTGCTGCTGCCTCCATTGGTCAAGTGCATCATGGAGTTTTGCTTGATGGGAGGGAAATTGCTATGAAGATACAGGTATTAGACTGAATTTTTCATGTTCTGGTTTCAGCAGTCTAAGGTTTTGCAACTTATATTGATGTTTTCTGTAAACCAAACTTTTTTTTCTCATTTAGTACCCTGGTGTGGCTGAGAGCATTCATAGTGACATCAACAATCTTATGTCTGTTCTGAAGATGAGTCTTGTGCTGCCTGATGGTGAGCACTGGCAATTGTTTTCTTTTTTATATTAAGTTCAAAAAGCAAACATTTCAGAAGTGGGTACATTGAGTCATACACATTGTGTGGGATGTCAGTAGCTGTTGATTTATTTGAACAGGTCTGTTTGCTGACAGTAGTCTCGAGGTTCTTCAGAGGGAGCTGGCATGGGAGTGTGACTACAAGAGAGAGGCAGAGTGTGCAAAGCGATTCAGGTATATCATAAATATTCAGTTATAATAAATATCTGGATTGTGTACCGTTTGAATGAACCATAACAACACTACCGTTCAAAAGTTTGGGGTCAGTAACTCGGTAATGTTTTTGAATACACATTATTGACTATTTTCTTGACTCTCACAGGAATTTGCTTGAAGGAGATCCAGTATTCATGGTCCCTGAGGTCTTTGATGAGCTGTCGGGTCGTCGTGTGATCACCATGGAACTGGTAAATGGAGTTCCACTGGACTGCTGTGTTGATTTGAATCAGGAGACTAGAAATGAGGTGAGTTTTAAACAGAGAACAGACATTTGTAATAAGCTTTTGTTTGATTTATTGATTCATTTGCTTACTTTTTTTTTTGTACATTTTTTGTGTTGTAACATTTTTTGTGTTGTTACCAAATCTTTTAATCAAAGATATACCCTTTGCATATACTGTTTGATACTTTGTTACCTCAGAGTTGTGTGAATAACCTACGATAGTATTTCTCCTGATTTGGCAATATTGAGACTGTTTATCTGACGATATCCTATTTTATTTCACTGTGAAAATGAACTTTCAGAAAATAATTCTCGCTCACCTTTATTCGGTAGATAAGTTTTAACATCCTGCAGTTGTGTTTGAGAGAGCTGTTTGAGTTCCGCTTCATGCAGACAGACCCCAATTGGTCCAACTTCTTCTACAATAGTGAACAGAACAAGGTGAGCAACCATTAAGACACTGTTGACAGAGGTGTGTATGTAAATTCAGTTTCACATTAACACATCACACACACACACACACACACACACACACACACACACACACACACACACACACACACACACACACACACACACACACACACACACACACACACACACACACACACACACACACACTGTAGTTAACTATTGATTTGTGTGCATGTGTTCTTCAGTCCAATCAGCTCTGAAGGTCTTGATCACTTTTTAGAAATCATGTCAAGATCACATTTAATCTATAGACCCCTTTTCTTAAAGAAATTAATACTTTTATGCTCAAGTTTGCATTAAATTGATCAAAAGTGACATTAAAGACAATTAGAAAACAGTCACATCCAAAATTCAGGATTCTTTGAATAGAAAGAATCCTAAACATTTTTTATCAAGGTTTGCTCAGCATGACTGTTTTCAACATTGAAAATAATAATAAATGTTTCTTGAGCAACAGATCATCATATTAGAATGATTTCTGAAGGATCATGTGACTGAAGACTGGAGTAATGATGCTGAAAATGCAGATTTGCCATCACAGGAATATTATTTACATTTTAAAATACTGCTATTACATTATAATAATATTATATTTATAGAAAACGGTTATTTAAAAATGTGATTTTTCAAAATTTTATATATTGTAATATTGTATATTTTAACTTCAATATTTCTTTTATAATTTCTTAATTGCATGTCTGTTTGTGTTTCCACTTACCTTTCCACTTCTCCCCATTGAAACAGTATGTACAACTTTGATAATTTGTTCTTCATCATAACAGATATTTCTGTTGGACTTTGGAGCCTGCCGAGATTACCCAGAGACATTCACAGATGATTACATAGAGGTACAGAATTTGGGAATATTTTTACACAACACCTTAGTGGGTAGGACTGGAATGGGATGTGAAGGGGCCTTTGCATAAAAAGTGAGCTTGAGATTTTTGTTATTAATAGGAATTTCTATTTTTGTCATCATAGACACATACAGTAACCTAATAAATATGTGAATTATTAAAAAAAATCACAATAGAACTTCAAAACAATGTAAGATGATGCCAAAAATATTGGTAAATGTTAAAAAGAACATCATTACTGCCTTTGTTCCCTTTTATGTATCTTTCTTAAAGTGTGTATAATGTATATATTTTTTCAAATGATTCTCATTCAAGGTGGTTCATGCAGCGTCAATCGGAGACAGGGCAACTGTTCTGCAGAAATCTAAAGACCTGAAGTTCCTTACCGGTTTCGAAGCCAAGGTTTGTGGCTTAATATGGTTTATAATACTCATGCCCAATAGTTTTACTGTCTTGCATACTTTCTATCCACTTTTTCCTTTACTTCCCTAGATTTATCTCTATTGTTTCTAGACTGTCCTCTTTAACAAAATGGTCTTATTCTCTTCAGGCATTCGAGGATGCACACGTGGAGGCAGTGATGATCCTCGGTGAAGCGTTTGCTTCTACGGAAGTGTTTGACTTTGGCACTCAGAGTACCACACAGCGCATCCAGAGCCTGATCCCTGTCATGCTTCGACACCGTCTCACTCCTCCTCCAGAGGAGACTTACTCTCTGCACCGCAAAATGGCTGGCTCATTCCTCATCTGTTCCAAGCTAAAGGCCCACATTTCCTGCCGAAATATGTTCCTTGATATTTACAATGCCTACAAACGTCAACGACAGGAAAGATGCTCGCAGGTTTAGGTTTTGAGGGTTATATGTGACCATTTAATCACTCAAGAACTTCAAGATCATCATGACACAGATGTTTATTTATATGTATACATAGAAAGTTCAATTGTGTCAGTATGTTTTTTTCCCCCCTTTTATTTTCTTTGATTGAAAAAAAACAAAACTGAATGCAAAGGTAGAAAATCTTAGAATTAGTTAGCAAGGTCCTTGTTATGATCATTGCCAAGCTTTTAAAGTTATGACACTGTAAGCAATGAATATAACGATTTTACTCCAGTGGAGTGAATTACAAATCAGAATTCTTGTGAATGATATAAATCTAACAATAGAATTTGACTGCACGGTTTGATTTGCAACATCATTTTTCAGTTGATACCAAGTAAGAAATGTGTGTATTTCTCTTCTCATCATTAAAAGTATGTGACAACTGGTGTAGCAGATAGTAAATATTAGCGATAAATTCTGTATTATAAATTTTTCAAGGCTTGTACCTCTGAACCTATTTCAAGGTTTGCGTTCTCGAACCACCAGGCACCGTTTTGTGCAAATGAGCGGCCGGATCGCATTAAGGGTTTTCTGTTAGAACGGTGTCGTGTTAGCGGCCCCTAAGTTAATAACTAATGATCGTTGCGACGGAAGAGAATCAATCAAAACTAACTTTAGCTGGACAATAATTTTATTCTAAATTCTGCTGTAAAGCCAAAACAATCTCTGGTGCTTTAATTTCCTATTATCACTGTAAAGCTGCTTTGAAACAATCTATATTGTTAAAAGCGCTATAAAAAGGAAGGTGACTTGACTTGACTTAAATAGAGGTTTAGTAAATATTACACTGTCTTTGTGATAGTTTTAAGACCACTGAATTAAGACCACTAACACACAGTATATTGTGAAAACTGAAGTAAATACTATGATACATAAATATGATAATTATCCATTACTTTAAAGGTGATAAGGTAGCAGGACCTGCTCAAATTATAAATCAGAGGTCACACCCAGATATTCTGCATATTTTCTGATTATTTATTTATTCACTAAAAATGATCCATGTTTTCCACATGTTCCATGGTAGTACCAGTAGTATTCTTTGAAATCCTTGGAATAAATGTAAATATAATGGTAGGCCTACATGAATATGGTAATAGGCTATTCTAGAATTTCCCAGAGCTTTATGTTTTGATCTGTTTTTTATATAAAAAATATATAGTAAATGTAAGTATTGCTTTAATATTTTTATTTATTTATTTTTCAACAAATAATTATTTCGTTGTTACTTAGTTCTAAAATTATAACGTCAGTAACAACACTCACTCAGTTAAAAAAAAAAAAAGCTGTTTTTGACAACAGAGAAACGTCAACGTTCAGAAAAGTGTGGTTTGGCCTCTAGATGACGGTATTTTATGCCTGCCGTCTGGATACTTGTATGGTCCCATTCAGACTCTTGAACATCAGCGGGAAGAGAAAATTTGCATAAACGCCCGTGTGCGCCAATGGGGTCGTCGATTGGGCGGGGCTTGCGGGTGGAGCCGCGGGAGGAGCGCAGTCTATGCGCCAGTGACTGCTGCTCACTGAATAACAAACGCAGAGATTATCAAAAATCCGTCCATTTCTCACGACCGTGTTTAAAATTTACGACCATTCGAAGCGCCTCCGGCCACGTGCATCTAATAGAGCGTCGGTTTCGCGAGGAATTCTGATGTAGAATAATCTTAAATAATTTTTCCCCCATATTTCCTCTGGATTACACAAAAGGCGGCACGGACACTCATTGTAGTATCCTTCTATTCGGTAAGTCCCAATGGCAATCTGTGCTCTCATTTAACATGCATTATTTATAGTTTTAGGATATCATATAATACAGCTGAAGTGGTTCGGGATTGCATGTCTGCTCATATCTGTTTCATCAGATCCATATATGATAAAACATGAAGATATAAATAATGGAGTTATTACCTTAGAGTTTTAAGGTATGATGGGGTTAAAAAAAAACATCAAGACTTCCTTTTCTGGATACACAAGAATGTCAGTGCGACTGAGTCCAGATGTTTCTGAACATACAGCATCATAAAACACCACTAATATGATAGATGATAATAGCATGATCCAGTGTAAAATTATGTAACACTTAAAGTGTCTCTGCTGAGAGTGATAGTATGCCTTTATTAGAAACGCATAGCCATCCTCATCAATAATTAGATGACTGTTTTTGATCAATAATGGTTAGGCCTTACACTGTGAGGAGTTTGTCAGAGCCCTCAATGAAATATGAGTACAGGACTGCAGTGTACAGATACTTTATGTAGACTATCAATATCAGCAACATAATAATTAGCATAGAATGATTAAAATACAAAAATAATATTAATTATCTTTATATAATGTTCTTAGTTGATGTAGTCATACTTGAATGGATTGGCAAGCCTATGCTGGCAAATAGAAATTATGTAGGCTATAGACTAAAGTATTTGAAAATAGTTATTCTGTGGAACACAAAAGAAAATATTTAAAAAAATGTTACAACTCTTTATGCCTATGCAATCCAAGTCAATAAGGTCCAAAACCACATTGGAGTCTTTAATGGGAGTCTGGCTTTAATGGGTGAAAAAACAAACAATCAAACAAACATATTTTAGAATATCTTCACAGAAGAATGACATAATAGAATGATTGCTGAATTTTCATTTTGGTGAAATATCCCTTTAAATCTTTTAAGTCTGGTATGGTTTGCCCACATTACATTATATCATAAGATGTCAGTTACATTTTTACATATTTTTTTATCATCCATTTAACTTGCTACAGTAATTTCTGGCATTTCTTCTCATGTGTTCAGAAGTTCAGCTTGATTCTTTTCATCAGTACTGCAGGTTGTGACTTTGACCCCAGTTTGATTTTACTTAAATACAAGGTAGTATTTAATTATTATTATTTTTTCTGGTTGTTGGAGCTTTTTACATTATCTGACCTTAACATATACTGTACTTTATATATTCTTATATAGTCAACTTATATCTTAATAAATTGATTTAGTCAAATAAAATACTAATTCAGTCTTTAAATACACCTGATTTTTTAGTTGTACTTGCGCTGCTAAACCCAAAATGCAAGCCTATATGGGCTAGTTTAAGAAATCTTGTTCAAGAATATGAATCATAGGCTACTTTCTATTCATTCCCCTTGTGTACAGTCTTCTTGGGCTGGTGTGAAAGTAATTCACACAAAAACTGTAAGTACCCTGTAAGCAACTTTTCTTTGCTGCACTATTTAATCACTCGTCACACTGACTATTGGACTGCATGTCCATAACAGCTGAATGGGTTTTTTTAACTGTCCTGAGTGGGTACCGTCTGTTCCGCGTGTCTGTGGTGTAAGTCTGCGCCCCATTGTTATCCAGATGGATGAACAAGGGGACACAGCAGCTGAAACTACAATAGCATAAGGGCAAAGGGCAATCAGACGGCTGCCAGCTAAGCCTTGGCACTGGAGAAGGATGTCATTTCCTTTGTAATAATAAGGGTGTGACTTCTAAACAATGGACTACAATTCTGCGCCATACAGAGAGCAGTTGCTTGAAAAAGCCATTTCCGTTTTTTTTTGCTGAGCCATTCTTCATTTGCAATGGGTGAATTGTGTCGAGGGATTTGTGTCTTTGTGATTTGGTTTATTTATTGTCATGTCTCATAATTTGACAAAGGATTGTGGCTTATCTCATCACCAGGCCTTCATAATGTATCAAATGAAATGATCATCTTCTGGTCCACATGGTACCTCACAAGTGGCCTCAAGCTTGTGCTTTGCTCCAGTTAAGATCTTTAGTTCAGTATTTGTACTGGCTCCACCACTATGTGTGTGTGTGTGTGTGTGTACACTAATTATTAGAAATATATTTAGTTTATATTTTTATACTACATACATACAAAAGACTATTCATTTATTAGGATTTGATTTGCAATAACTAAGAGTTACTTATGTAGCTATATGAATGTAGAAATCGTTTGCCAGGAAAAAAGAAAAACTTAGCAGGCATAACTTTGGAAAAAATGACTCTCCCTGTTGCCTCTGCATTTGTGTGGAAAGTCCTGGAGTCATTCAAAGTAATCACATCAAAGTGTGCATGGCATTCAGCTGTGAAAATCAAAGTCGTTTAGCTCAATTTCTAAGGTCGACCTTTACACGTCATGCACACGTTGGAGCGCTTGCTTTTAGACCTTACATTTTTCTCTGCATTAAGAATATCATAACACATCCACTAGTACATGACTTTACATTATGTATGACCGCACTTAAATGGACTTTACAGTGTGATCTCAACTGGCAGTCACGATACAGCTCTTTACCTTCCGAGTGCTCATAATGGGTAATTTAGTGATGCTTGGCAATGTGTCAGGATTCTGCAAAGGAATCTGTTTAGGATCAAAATGTTTCTATTGATTTAAAGAGTGTAACATGTCCTGTAGATCTAGACTCGCAGACTCTGTTTTAGTTAGATCATTTCTTAAGTTCACTAAAGGCTGGCCCACACTAAAATATTTTGAAATCTTATCAGATTTTCAAAATGTGAGAGACCACAAACATGATGATAAAAATATCGTAGATTTAACAGTTTTGTTCCTAGTGTGTGTATTGCCGCGATGTGACCAAGACAGCACACCAAACACTAAAGCCAGGCGCACGGTGTGATTCACGTGGAAATCATTGATGCTCCTATGGTCGCAGCTTGCATTGTGTGAGAGGAATTACGAGCCGAGCCGAGTACGTTACAAGCACCTCCCGACCTCTCCATAATTTTCCAACATTTAAAAAAAAATTCTGGGAGTCGGCCCGATTTTGACCAGTGAATATATATGTATAGGCTGTCCCATATTGCCAAATCATACACAACCACTTCACATTGACTAGATATGAATTTTATTATAGCCCAGTGGCTGCAACCCTACAGCGTGCGCATACACTGACACTGTTCAGTTCACCGTGGTCCATTTCTGTATATAATAAAGAGTATAAACTATATATTATCACGTTTTAGTATATAAGTTAACATTTGAACCGTTTTAAAGGTTTTGTTTTTTATTTTTGCATTTTTTTATTATTAGATATTTGGGTAAGCTTAAACCCAATAGTTTAGTTTAGTTTATTAATTTATGAAGCACATTTAAAAACAACTGATGTTGAAACCAAAGTGCTGTACAACAAATAAAGAACATAATAAAACATCTTAAAAACCAATTGGACAAATGAAAATGATACACCCTTAAACTGAATTAAAACATAAATAATAACAATAAGTCTTCAAAGAGGATTAACACATAGAAACAGAAGGGGAAGATCTTATGTGAAAGGGAAGACTATTCCAGAGCCTATAGAGCAGCCACAGAAAATGCCCGGTCAACTTTAGTTTTAAGATGTGAACGAGGGACTGAGAGGAGAAATT